TCACAGATCTGGATTCTGTATTTGATCGTTCAAGCTCAAATATTAAAATAGAATCAATTCGATGTCTGTACAGGTGTGTACCCGCTGTACCTTATATGGAATCTGCCAACCAACTTCGTTGGATAACGGTATGCTGTTATCTGCTCACATTCTGGCGGTACTCTTTCCGACACTAAATGGTGTTCCCGCTTCTTTTCGGCGCCACAAATCATGGCTCATAGTCTCCATCTTGCTTCAGCTATCCAGAGTTGCGTCGCAGGTTCGTAGGTTCTTGCTCACGCAAGCTGGTCTTGCGACAAGGTCTCCAACCGCAGCATTTGCGAGCGCGCCTTCCTTCCAGGGCTGGGAGACGCATCACTGATCAGGACGCACATCAAGGATGCACAAAGAATACTGTACCAGACAGATACTTAGTTCGGTGGCTTATCTTCAGCGCCGATACGGTTTAATTCAAAAGGGTATCCCTTCAGTGTTTAGCTCGAAAAGTATGTGTGTGAATGGGTACCTTTTTGTGATATATTAATTCATTGCAATTGGGGCCTTTTAGACTTCTGGCCCTTGCTCCAATACCCATTTCCATCCCACCCCACGACCAGGGCTTACCATGTCGCTTAACGAGGAAAAGGATCGTAATCTTTTCGATGGAAGCGGTAAGCTCGAGATGGATGTTGCCTCCGCCGGGAAAGTCGGCGAGGACGAGCAAGTGTTCGAGGAAGAGAAGGAATTAGTGTAAGACTTTCTGGATAATTCGCATCCTCAGCGTCACTAACGTCTATGTAGACGAGGTTTGCAGCAGAGGCACATTCAGATGATTGCTCTTGCTGGAACAATCGGAACGGTGAGCTACCCTTGTCGGCATTGTGTATCTTTCCTAATTCTTTTTTCACTTCCTAGGGTCTTTTCCTGGGCTCGGGTAAAGCTCTTGCAGCTGCCGGACCAGTGGGCACGCTTTTGGGATACCTGTTCACTGGTATCCTAGTGTCTGGTGTTGTCCTGTCTATCGCCGAGCTTGCTGCTCTGGTACCGCTCACTGGTTCATACGTCCGTCATGCCGAGGTTTTCTTCGACCCCGCCTTATCGTTTGCTATTGGTTGGAACACTGTCTACTCAAATTGTGTCTCAATTCCTGCCTGAGATCACTGCTGCCGCTGTGTTGATATCATTCTGGAACACAACCATCTCGAATGGAGTGTGGATCACGATCATGGGTCTGCTTATTATCGCCACCAACATGTTCTTCATCAGGGTGTATGGAGAATTAGAGTTCAGCTTCTCTATGCTAAAAATCATGCTCATCATTGGTCTAATCCTCATGGTGAGTTAAATCTACATTAATTGATTATATTCGAATGTTAATTCTCCCTTCCAGGGTCTCGTTATTGACTTGGGAGGTGTATCCGGCCAACACCGTCTTGGATTCCAGTACTGGAGAAACCCTGTACGTATTCTCTCTCCGGTCAAAAGAAAATAGAGCTTATCAAAGTCCTACAGGGTCCTTTCGTCCAATACCTTGGCATTGGTGGATCTCTCGGACAATTCTTAGGCTTTTGGACCACTTTCTCCAACGCTGCCTACGCGTATTCCGGTATTGAAACCATTGCATCCGCTGCCGCCGAGACTAAGAGTCCGCGTCGTAACATCCCGAGAGCCGCCAAGCGTATTTTCATTCGAGTGTTGCTCTTCTACGTCCTCTCTGTCTTCATCGTCACCATGATTGTGCCATCCAACAGCCCACTGCTTCTCAGTTCATCCTCCAACGCCAGCGAAAGTCCTTTCGTCATCGCCGCAAACCTGGCAGGTATCAAAGTAGTCCCGCACATTGTGAACGCTATTGTTTTGACTAGTGCGTGGTCGTCAGGTAACTCTTCGATGCTAGTAAGCTCCGTATATTCATCGAGCTTTTCGGTCACTAACGATATCTTGCAGGGAGGCTCTAGGACACTTTACGGTCTCGCTCGTGAAGGACATGCCCCCAAGTTCTTCCTCCGTACTAACCGATTCGGTATCCCATGGATTTGCGTCGCATTCATCAGTATCTTCATTGCCCTTGGATACATGACGCTACAAGATTCCGCTGCCACTGTCTTCCAATGGTTCCAGGACCTCGTCGCCGCCGCGGCTCTTGTTACTTGGATCACTATTTGTTTGATCTACCTGCGCTTCTATTACGCCTGCAAGCGCCAGGGCATTGACCGTAGCGAGCTGCCATGGGCTGGACCCTTCCAACCCTACGTTGCATGGATGGGCCTCTTGGGCTTCGGTCTTATCTTCCTCACTGGAGGGTTCGTCGTTTTCATTCACGGAGACTGGGAAACGGAAACTTTCTTCAGCTCCTACTTTAACATCCCCCTCATCCTTATCCTCTATTTCGGCTTCAAGTGGATCAAAAAGACAAAGATCGTTAGTCTGGATGAGATGCCGATTAGATATTACATTGATATTGCCAACGCGAATCCAGAACCTGAGGAAGTTCCTCTGAAGGGCTGGGGGAAAATCAATCTTTTGTGGACATAATAAGGTGTTCATGCATGGTGGTATCTATACTGTGTCTAGGGTATTATAGCATTGAGGAGATTTCATGTAGTACTTGTAGTTTTCGTATTCCTGCATTATTATTTTCTGCTGTGAAGAATTACCGATAAGCTGTGGACGAGGCGGAGATGTATACTAAATGATAGTTGTAAGGACATGGCTTTCTAAACAAAAGGTCGTCTTTCTACTCTCTACCAGGGAGTTCGAATGGGACCGGGTCTCTCCATTATCCGACTCGCGGTCCAAATCGCGGATGGTCTCGATCTGAACTTGAATCTGCGTAGTGGCGCCCCGATTATTCGTCTATTAATATTTGGGATTAAAAACCGAGTATCGTTCGAACGAATGAACGACAGTACATACCGGACCAAGAGCACGTAGCCCAGTGACTGCCGAGCGATCTTGTAATGAATGAGAATCCCCATTCGATGGGCCTCGGTCGCTGCTTCCTCTTAAAAGTCTCTTTCGGGCATTGAGGGTGGCTAGAAGTGAGTTGACGTAGACTATAAAATGCAAAGTTCAGAAAAATGCTATACGAGCCGCCGGATATCCGATGTCTACTTACATCGACCAACTAAAAAGAAACGGTCAGTCTCAGCATGCATAAAATATAGTGACGAGCGTACTAATAAAATAAAAGGCAAAATACGCGAATGTATTCGGTAGAGCCAAAATCTATTATGCCTCTCGTGAGTGGCATGTATAACAGAAAAATCCAACTTCGCACTTACGAATATCAGCGATCCCACAGCGCATATAGATGTAAGACTTCCTGTGTTTATACTGAAGAGTATCTTTACGGGGCACGAAAAGTTAGCATATCTAACGTGCAGCGATGGTTGAAAAATCACCAGTCGGTTGATCACATGGTTACTCCACGCAAACCCAGTCTTTGAAGCGCTCAGCATTGTGCAAATCGCAACAGAAATAGCGATATCTCCAACAGCGGCAAGTACATTGATCGACATTGACAAGTCCTTGAGTTGGTGCAGCTTGTCATATGTATCAAGCTGTTGTGCTAGTCCTTGAATGCAATAAGCTATAGAGTTGAATTCGTAGGTCAGAGATGAAGCAGATGTAAGAAAATATGCACACGCACTGACGGAGCTGACTGTACTCGAAAAAAAAGAAAAGAAAAAAAATAGGGAAATTACTGAGAGAGGTTCAAGATATAGAGTAGGTTCAACATACCAAACTCGGCCATGATCAAGAGACCCTGCAAGGATAATGGTTAATTATAATGAATGGACGACGAGTGAGAAGTTGTGCCCACGATGAAGATGATAAGGATGAAGCTTTTTCGGACTAATGCATTGGTCAGTTAAAATTTGACGATGAGAGATTGGAATGAACTCACATTGCCATATTCCGATTTGCGAAAAAGCATTGCACCAGCAATCCAGTGATTGCGTTCATCAGCACTTCGACCTAGTCACGTCGTTAGTCACCCGAGGGAGCTGGAGGTCTAAATCCCCAACTCACATACACACTCCTGCGTTATTCACAAGAGAATTCCTGTGTCAATAATCCTAACCATCGATGAAGTGTGAACCCTGCGTACCAGACTACGTGATTCAAATTGGAGGCATCGCTAAAGTTGGAGATGGAGTAGTAGTAGACTGAGGAGATTCAGTCTACTTTAAAAATACGAGAAGGAAGCAACATACCAACATGGGTGATGAGAATTTGATGAATCGTGTCACTCGCCCAAGCTGCCATAACCTTTGGGATACGTACGGTGAGTAAGCTTCTCTACAATCGAGAAAGGCACATACCACGTATCGTTGAAGTGGAGAGTCATTACGATAGCTATCGAAATAATACCATGCCTGGATGCACGAGACACCCCAAAGTGCTGACCCAACGATCATCCCAATAAACATCGCTCCGATACTGAACAGTGAAAGAGGACGTTAGAGCAGTGGTTGAATTGGGCATTGAGATTGAGGCATACGTGCTGGAAATATCCGACTCTGAAGACATCGTGAAGCAGAAAAGTAACGCGATCTGAACTTAAATGGACGGGCGAGAAAAGGCAAAAGCAAGTACAGTGAAAATTCATTGGAGTGTTGTTTTAAATTCGAGATGGATACGCGTCGGAAGCAAACTGAATTGGATAACTGCACGGCGCGGTAGTGACTTTGCGATATGCGACCTGAAACGACTACCTGTGTAAACGAATGGACTGACATTTAGGAGGCTTGGATATAACTCATCCGTTGTTTCAGAGAATCCAAAGAGAATCACAAAAAATGCTTGCTTTCAGAGTTCGTAATATAAGTAGCAGATTATAGCTGAGATAGTCGCTGGATAGTACTTACTCTGAATTGAGGCAGGATAGGTGACATGAGTGTGCGTGGCCAAGGAAAGAAGGAAGACGTCCGGTGGACCTTGAGTGGACCAACTCAAACGCTGAAGCGCTGAAGGTCTAAGAGTGAACAAACCACAAATCACGATAACATTATTATGGGCATGTAGTGTAGGGGTTATCGCGTCCGCTTCGCATCTTTGCGTAGTAACATGATCTATGTGAATGCGGAAGGTCTCCGGTTCAATTCCGGACTTGTCCATCCATGAAATCTCTGTCATTGGGTTTTTTTTTTTTTTTTTTTTGCAAAATTTAGGGTGGGTTTAATTTCGTATCCATCTTATTGCACGCTTTGAGGCTATGTTGAACACATCGATCTTTTTGGATTTATTTATTATAATTACCACCGTTCACTCTCTTTGAAGCGCTCGCACGTCTCCTTGTCTCATTTGCCTCAAGCAAGAAACTTCAGAAAAGGCTTCAGACACAGGAAAAGAGGATCCGCTGCACAAAGTGCTGAATAGCGCTCGAAGGATTAAGCTGGATGAAGGACGATGCTTGGAACGGAATCAATTGGGTACGTCGATTCAAATTAGTTGCCATCCAATTCTATAGCTGTGTAGCTGCTTCTAGATCTGAAACGGAAGCGTTAAATCGACATTGCTCCATTTATACTGACCAATCTCTTCGAATCGTCGAATCTCGCTCGCCGAACCCAACCTCCAGAGATCTGACGGACGTAGAGGTTAGATATCCACCGCGACCATTGATGCCTACTCCACCTCGACCCATGGCCAGGGGTCGCTCCAGAAAAACCGAAGAGTAGTCTGTTACTATGAACGTACGTTTCCGCGTCCTCTCGTACGACTCAACCGCTCAAGGAGATCCCCGTTTCAGCTCAAGTACAGGATTGTCTGCCATCTATCGATGTCCTTACCATTCTCCGATAGAAAGGTTTGGTTTTACGGCTTCTTCTTCCGAGTCCTTCCTCGTACTAACGCCTTTATTTTGCTTTACTAGGACGCCGAGGTGCTCCTACTACTAATCCGTCCGTGACGACAACACCACCGACACCATCGACTAGTTTCATTCCATACATTTCATCGTCATCGTTCAGTGGTCTATCAGCCTGGACAAGATCTCCTAGCGATGGGCAATACCGCTTCAAAAGGCTAGTCGAACTCCTGTGCCCAAGCGCGCCTCATCCTATGCTCTCTTGCTGCCTCAGCATTGTGTCGGCATGAATTTCGTTTCCAAGGTGGGACTTTGTACTGGTCAGCATTTTTTGTAGCCACGTCGAGCCCGCTACTTACCAGTACTTACCTTACTTTACAATGTATTAGGGCGTCCGATAATTTCCGCTAAACGCTTTTATCCAACGCATTACCGTCGGACGTGAACAGAAACAGATCGTGGTCCTCAACCTACCGTTACTTGGCGTGGAGAAATCTCGTTTCCGGGCGTACTGATGAAGAAAAAATTGCGGTAGAGTCCGAGCATTGAAGTTCGGGCTGGTTCAGAAACAGAACACGGTCTCCGGGTTCTTTATTGGATCCCGGCGTATCAGCACTTGGTCCCAAGCCGGTAATATACCTAACCTAGAGACCTCGTTTCTGGGCGTCCGTCATCGAATGATGAAGGAAGGGAGTACCGTGGTGACGGTGGGCTTATGGATTTTTTCACCCGGAGAGAGGTAAAGACCGAAATTCAAGGAACATCTCGGGGATGTCGATGGATGAAAGAGGGGTCAACGTTTTTTCTACCGTCTACGATACAATAAGGCCCTCTGCGTAATAAGGGCTGTATTCCGTCTATTTCCATTCAATTATAAAAGGCGTGCTCTTCATCTAGGAGTGCTGCATCCCCAGTCGATATTAGCATGAGTCTTCCGACTACTACCAAGGAATACTTCTGGACCAAAGTACGTCTGTCCGCGCCTTCATTGGACGATGTGCGCTATAGACAATGATTTACACAGTTTGGTGGTACTGCTGAGAATCTCTCTTTGAGAGAGTCCCCTCTTGAGCCTATGAAGTCTCATGAGGTTCTTGTCAAGATCCATGCAGTTTCGCTGCAGGTAAGTACGGGTTTCTTCAAATGCTCGACCTTGCATCTCATCCAACACAAGTTCCGCGATATCTTGGTCGGCTCAGGACCGTACTCTGCAAAGTACTCCAATATACAACCCGCTTTTTTTCACGATCTAACATGGTTATTTAATGCAGGAGGCTAGACCAGCTCGTCCCTTGCTCGGACATGGCCGGAGAGGTACTCGCGGTCGGAAAAGACGCAGGAAGTGAGTGGAAAAAGGGCGATCGTGTTTGCGCGAACTTTCTAGCAGACCACATTGCTGGAGAGACTACACTCGAAATTTTAAACACTGCGCACGGAGGGTCGATACAAGGTGTTTTGACACAGTACAGGTCGTTCCGTTCCCATGTCAGTGTTTTGTGCCCTCCTCTCACGCTCAGGGTACTAACTATCCTGCGTTATGTAGTCACTTATCAAGATTCCAGATCATCTCTCGTATGAAGAAGCCTCGACGTTGCCGTGAGTGGTCTCTGTTTATATTTCGATTCAAAGACTAAAAAGATATTCAGTTGTGCTGCATTGACTGCATACAATGCACTCATGGGCCCGAGCCCGGTCAAGGGTGGTGATACTGTTCTTATCCTCGGTACGGGCGGCGTTTCCATGTGCGTTTTTATGTATATCTTCCTCTCCAAAACTTAAAAATCCATGTAGTCATGGTCTTCAGTTCGCTCTCGCCTCAGGAGCAAGGGTAATCGCCACCTCCTCGTCCGACGAGAAACTCAAAATTGTCTCCAAGCTTGGAGCTCATCATATCATTAACTACAAAAGCACGCCGGAGTGGCATGAGAAGGTTCTTGAGCTTACTGGTGGAAGAGGTGTGGACCACATTCTCGAGGTTCGTGGCTTTCTACGCTTTCTAAGCAACAAATACTGAGAAATCCCAGGTCGGCGGTGCGGGCTCACTTGAGCACTCCTTGAAATGTATTCGTCTTGGTGGTGGATGGATTCATATGATCGGCTTCGTTGGCGGGGTACGTTTCGTCTTATTGTAATTCAACTATTTTTCTGAAACCGTTACCGGTTGGACTAGATTATTAGTCGGTGCATCTACCGACTGATAATCGTTTCCGGTACAGCATCATGAAACTCGAATGTCTGACAAGCGTTCGTCTACACGACAAGCTTACAGTTCGTGGAATCCAGATCGGATCCGTCGCTCTGTGCGTCTTTTCTTTTCAATTCTCGGTCTTTCATCAGCTCGTCTCAATGTTTTTTTTTTGTTCAGCTTCAAAGACATGAACCGACTGCTTGCTCAACATCCCGAAATAACCCGACCGGTCATCGACAAGGTCTTCCCCTTTGAGGAAGCACGTAAGGCATATGAGTACTTGCAGTCTCAAGCTCACGTAGGAAAAGTCGTTATTAAGGTGGCCTAATTAATGAATTAATGGCGCATCGGTAATTTAAAGAGTCTTTAGCTACTTGAATAATAATATTTCTTGTCCTCCCAGACCCTAGTATGTAAAGAAATAGCTTTCTTTTTTCTCTAAAATAAAATGCTACACTGTTCACTCGTGGAAGGTTTTTACATAAAGCTCATTGCGAAACCGGAAGCCGACCTCAAATATCCTCAATGGGCATTGCTATAGGTTCAGGCCGCCAGGGTCTTTTTTTGGGGGTATTACAGGATATTCATCCAATTGTATGATGCCACAATGGAATTCACTCTGATTATTTATTCCCCGATGGAATTGAAGGGTATAATGAACCCGAGGTTTCACCAATAGTGCACATCATGGCACTTGTCTAAAGGCCCAAGGGTATCCCTTGATGGAGTTCAACCATATGATGAGCCTGATAATGATGCGCACTTCAATGAAATATGAGACATTGGCGAGAGTTTTGACCTCGTATTGCTTGTATTGATGCAACAGAGAATGGGTGAATCAACTTGCTATCAACCTCTCGTACTCCAGGATGTTGTCAAAGTATCTACAAGACTCGGACTGAGAGTATTGTGAATTCTTATGAGACCTGATAACTGGCATGAAATGCAGTGACTGCCATTATCAAGTTACTATTGAGTCTCCCACAAGTCCAGGATTCAAGTACTTACTCTCTTAGAGTCTTCACTTCAGGATTTTTCCAGATGGCCTCTGTTGCAAATAGCTGTAAGCGACACTGCGTGAGGAGCTCATTGTTCGACTTAATTGTCTCCTCACTATATCACCATTGTGAAATTTCTTCCTAAGCCAGCCAACCTTGCTCTTTGCTACCTCTTGCTGTTCGTTTCCTCTAGACATAGTGCCTTCGCCTTTCGGGGAACTCAATATCGTGGTAAAGCCCCTATTGTCCCCACTTGCTCTCGTACACTCAAAATCCACTACATCAATCTACTGCTCAATATGTCCATCATCTTTTCTCCCTCATTGTTGTTGACTTACCTGTCTGACATTGAGAAGAGCTCAACCCCACTCTCTTCTTTTACCATCCGTGTCCCCCTCCTCTCATTCTTTCCAACATCCCTTTCAGAGAGTGTCATGGATAGTCACCAAGTTTATCTCTATCATTGGCCCACTCCCCTGGCCGGTGATACTCCAGGATTCCACACTGATGCCTGCAAAAGGCCAACTCAAACCAAGAGTTGGGGTACTAGCTTGCAGAAGATGGCAGGCTTCCTCAGCAAAGCCTGTTATTAACCAAGCTATCATTTTTGAGTCACGGATTTTTTACTTTGCGAGTAGCGATTCCGATTCGTCTGACGACAACGAGGATTAGTTGCAGTGTAGGATAGAGCCTTTGTTTTACCCAAACAAAAGATAGATAAGCATTTTTATGCCCTTCTGTTTTTCTTTTCTAATGAACTTGTGCTGCTTAAATTGAAGTAAGATATCTAATAGCCCAGTTCTTGGGCCGCTTCTGAGCTCAGCAACACAGACACTTGCTCAAGCTTTATGTCAATGGAACTAGTCCATCAGGAAAACCTTGAAATCCATATTTTGCCAAACTATGACTGAAACTGTATAAATGTAGCAGAATTTGACATAATAATCAAAGTTTGACAGTTTGGCAAAGTATGACAATATTGTGACACCCTGTTTATACCAAGTGTCAAAATTTGTCATATTTTAGCTGAATCATTGTATATATTTACTTTTTTGGCAGTAAATTTGTGTTCATAATACCAATTATTACTAAGTTTGCTTGCTTAAAACACAGTACTGAGCG